CACAAAAAGGATCAAGTATTTCAGAAGCCCATTTTTCGTTAAAAGGTTTTTGTTTGTGCTAGTATCCTAATGGATGACCCAAAAGATAGAAAATATCAAGATTGTAGCTAGTTCATACGATTTTTTGATAAAATAACTAGTTTTGACTACTGAATCTTTTCTATCACCTATTGGATGAAAGTTCTATGGGCTGATTCTTCACTGCCGACTTTACATTAACCGATTTGAATTTTGTTGTACAGGGTGGCTAAAAATGTTTTTCCAGGGGCTAACACTATAATTTCAAATAGAGTCAGTAATGGATTTTAGACCAAATTAAAGCGAGTCGAAAATGGGATTTTTTGATATTAAATTGTAAGAGTTATCAAAACCTTTTGATGTCGAACTTAAGAAATTTTATGCATTTTTGGCATAGAAAACTAGGGCGTCAGTGATTTAAAAATGGATTCTAGTATTTTCTTTTGATATTTTTATATGGCTCAATAGAGCTCGTCGAGATCTACAAAACTGTATATATTAAAAAATTTTTAAGCCAGCTTTTTGAGATAAATAAATTAAAAAACCACTTGGAAAATGCTAAAAAATGTTAAAAAACTCGTTTTTTCATTTGATAGAAAAATACTCGTTTTTTCAATAAAAATAGCTTTTTTCCATATTTTCACTAATAGAGACATTTCGAAATGTAATCATTAGACGCAGTTTTTCGCGCTGTATCCGGTGGTTATATTTCGAAATGTCTCTATTAGTGAAAATATGGAAAAACGCTATTTTTATTGAAAAAACGAGTTTTTTAACATTTTTTAGCATTTTCCAAGTGGTTTTTTAATTTATTTATCTCAAAAAGCTGGCTTAAAAATTTTTTAATATATACAGTTTTGTAGATCTCGACGAGCTCTATTGAGCCATGTCAAAATATCAAAAGAAAATACTAGAATCCATTTTTAAATCACTGACGCCCTAGTTTTCTATGCCAAAAATGCATCAAATTTCTTAAGTTCGACATCAAAAGGTTTTGATAACTCTTACAATTTAGTATCAAAAAAATCCCATTTTCGACGCGCTTTAATTTGGTCTAAAATTCATTACTGACTCTATTTGAAATTATAGTGTTAGCCCCTGGAAAAACATTTTTAGCCACCCTATACAATATTAAATATTGAATAAATATATTCTTTCTAATATTCAAAATTTCATGCAGATATATTCCACACAAAAAACCTTTGAATCTAACCTGTGTTCGTTGCTATCACTGAGCTTGTCGATGATGATTCAGTGTAGATGACTGGCATTGCTGAGAACGTTTCACTGCTTTGAGATGAACTCATGGAAAATCCTAGAATGTGAGAAGGAAAACTATGATATCATCTTAAGAAGAACAAAATCTGTTTCCACCTTTTGTCGATTTGGTTTTCATTGTCGTTGTCCCAACTGTTCCATGTGGTGTAACTGTACTTTTCGCTGAAATCTGCTGTCTTTGTTTTTCATTCAGTTTTGCTGTTGTCAGGTTGACATTAATGAATTGAACTCGTTCTAAATCTGAATCACCAAAGTCAACATCATTTAGTTCTGTTTCATTAAACGTTGCACAAACAAGTGAAGTTCCAGTAAATTTTACACCATTCAATCGAGAACCATGGAATGAAGCTCCGTTCAAATTGATATTTGTAAAAGTGGCATTGCTTAGACAAACTTGATCAAAACCAATACATTTCAAATTCATTTTACTCAATGTGTCCGTTTGACTTGTTAAATTAATATAATCAAAGTTTAATTCATTCAGTCGAATGATATCTTCCAAATCTTTTTTTTCACAACCAGTCGGACACTTGTTCCGACCGATCAATTGTTTTTCTTTCATAAACTGGAGAGCAAGCGACTTTCGTGTAGCATCCCATTGAAGATGTGCCACACGATATCGTGCATTAGCAAATGCCCATGGATGAGCTGATTCGTTTAACTCATCATCTTTGTGTAAAGTATAAACATCATCGATAAATTGATCATAGACTTGTTGCTGTCTCATTTCAGCTGCCAATTTCAAATCGAATTCACGACGTTCTGTAGCAATTCGATTTTGTCCCTCTAATTGATGTGCATCTGCTTTTGCCTGGCGATGGGTTGTTAGAGCCGTATAAATACCGATAGCAACAGGAGTTGTGATGGTGATAATAATTGTCACAAATTCATAGAATGTTAAGCTAAAATATTTACGCTTTGACGATTTTCTTCGTACATCTTCTGTGATGAGATTATCACTAGTCGGTTCAATACGATTCATACGAGAGTGTAGAAATATATCAGCTGGATTTACCAAATGATTCTTCTTTTGAAAAAGATTTTTGATGATTGATTGAGTTATGAACGGGAGAGAATTATATTTGAGAAGATAAAACGTAATAGAAACTTCATGACTTTTTGACTTGAACGTGTTTCAAATAAAGTTTTCTATATTGTTTCCGTGTGTTTATTTCAAATTTAATCATGTTGTGCGAGCAAACTTTGTAATTGATGCTACTTTTGCAGATGTGATGTTGTTCGAGTTTAATGATATCACATCATCGATTAGATATATTTATGCGTAATATAAATTCTGAAGATAGAGGCAAGCTAAGTCTTAAGAGTAGGTTGTACATGCAAAACTTGATACTTCTTCTTGGCTTCTTTTATTAGAAGTAGTTGGGTGTGGGTGGGTGAATGTGGGTGTGGGGCGTGGGTGGGTGTGTGGGGTGTGGGAGTGTGGGTGTGGGGCGGGTGTGGGTGTGTGTATGGGATGTGAGTGTAGGTGTGACTGAGTTTGAGGAGAAGACGCACACCCACACCCTTACCGTGGAAGATCAAACTAAATAAGGGACTAGACCGTGTTTTATTTTTTTTTGGCGACAACTACCAAACCATATAACTTCTTCATATATGCAAAAATGAATTCAATAATATTGATTTTTTCTAAATTTTGCCAAAAGTTTTCACAAGAGATCGTATATATTCGTCTCATCTGTGATATCTTACGATTTATGATGAAAGTCAAATCATGTCAAATTGAATTCAAAGCTATTAAACGAAATTTATTTACGTTCTGTTTCTTTCCTTCACTTGTGAATATATATGAGTGAAGAACGCGTCCATTGTACCGTTTGTGAAAAATAAATTGATAAAAATAAATTTAACGATAGGAAAAAACTAGGTATTATATTTGACAAAGCTATGTCGAATGTATATGAAAATACTATTTTCTCTATGCTTCCCTGTGGTACGGTGAAGACTCACAATATCACCAGCTAAAAAGTCATTCTACATATAGTATAACCATCATTTTTTAAACTTTGTGTAAAATCTTTTTATTAACAAAGTTTATGAAACAAATCTCTTTTACTTCTTAAATTACTTCCCTCATAGTTCTCTTTTATATCCATTCAAATTGGTTCGAATGAAGTTTCTTTGAACGAAATACCAATGGCTTTAATGTCGCTCTACACTTTTATCATAAAAATCTCGCTCTACACATTCTTAGTAAAACTGAGTTTTCTTTTGAGTAGGGAAAGATTTTTGCTTGATTTTTTGGGTTGTTACTCTACTTTATGAGATGAAAAAAGGATCAAATTTTTGTCACAAATGGACTAGTTTTCATTGAGTTACAGCAATAACAAAATTTAAAATCTTGCTCTACATATTGTGTGAAAATAGCTTTTTTTGAACTTTGCATAAAAATTTTGTATTAACTAAGTATATGAAACAACCTTCCTTTGCTAGTCAAATTGTTTTCCCCTCCTTTCTCTTTCATATGTGATCAAATTTGTTCCAATAAAGTTTCTTGAAATTGAAAATCATTGATTTTAATCTCGCTCTACACAAATATGAAAAGTGTCTTAATGTCTATTCTCGATAGTTTCCCATCCATAAGACATTGTCTAAAGCTAATACCGATGACATATTCTGAAAGCTCGCGACGAGTTCTACAAGTCTAATTACAAAAACAATTGAAAAAGAACCATAATGTAATGAAAAAATTTGATTTACTTGTGATAGATAGAGTCGAAAAGCTAGGTATTTGTATTGTTGCTAAAATTTCTTGGAAAGTAAAACAGCTAAAAACTTGATTATTTCAGAAGTGAATGGCTACTAGTATACTAGTAAAATAAAGAAAAAATATCAAAATCGGTTGAATAGAACTCGATTTATAAGCGTTTTTCTGTTCCAAACCAAACGGTACAATGGGCACGCTCCTCATTCATATACATATGTCATTGTCAGTTCGACTTTTTTTCAACGTCCTCTTTTTTAATGGAGAGGTAACTGTAATCTATAAATGCAATGGCTTTTTCGTGTATGTAGCTCAAAGTTTATGTAGATTATCTCAACCAATAAAATATCAATACAAGTGACGCATTTATCTGAGAAGGGATTTTTTTAGGATAATTTTGAAAAATATTGCATCATACTCTATTTCTATCTTTCGTCATCCAAAGCTATTGAATAAATATTCACATTTCTAGGCATTCAAAAAATACAGTTTATTTGTTATTTTTTCAGTTATGATTGAACCAACAGACATAAATGTTGATTATTGTGAAGAAGAACGATTAACATGTGTACTTGTAACTTGATACATTTAACATCCTTATAAATGAAATTGTTTTTCATATATCACTTCCATTATGTTTATGGCCGATTAATGGTCGACCATTGCTTGATTATACAATTCATACATTAATAGACTCAAATATACAAGAAATTATTTTATTAACAACATCATATTCAAATGAGATTTGTTCATATATAATGAATAGTCAATGGTTACGAACTTATTCAAAATTCATTAAATTAATTCCATATAAAGAATAGCACGTTCACTTGGTGATTGTTTAAGAAATCTGGAAAAAGAAAATATAATAAATCATAATTTTTTATTACTATATGGTAATGGTACATTGTTAACAAGTGAAAAATTAAATAGTTTATTTTATATTCATAAAGAAAATATAAGACAAGATAAAAGTTGCATAATGACACTTGTTTATCGTCAATTAAATTCAAATCATTTTGAACATTCATCATATACGGATGATCAACATGTATTTGTTTTACGTGATAATAATAGACATCGTGTATATGATTATTCAAATGAATATCTTGATAAATATCAAATATCACTTGATTTATATAAACAACCAAATATAACTATGGAAATATTATATTGTCCATTGGATTGTCATTGAGCAATTTGTTCACCTGATGTTTTACATTTCAGGATAATTTCGATTTTTTAACAATTAATGAATTCGTTCAAGGTAAACATAATGATGCAGAAAAAAAACCACAGGAATAATCAGTTAAACATTTAGATACAAGTGACTTTTTGTTCGGATGTTCTACAAAAAAAAAAAGTTTCTGTGTATACTTCGATTTGAATTGTTTCAATTCCATTTTAGTTTTGTGAAAGTCTCATTTGTTTTCGAAGAAAATAATATCGAGTGTAAGTTTAAATTGAATTTTTTTAGGTTTCTCTAGCTCTCCCATAACAGACCTTAGTAAACCAAAGATTATTAGATATATTTTCCTAGCTACGGAAAATGGTGCTTAAGTAATATCAGTGGTTCAATCATTCTGAAACTCTTTAGATCCTAACTGTTTAGTTTAAATATTGCGAATTTTAGTTTTGCATGTAGCTAAAAGATTTTATTGTAGATGTGAATCAATAGACTGGTCATAATTTTGATCGAGCATAGTCAGAATAGAACAGACATATAAAAATATGTACTAATAGAATTCTAATATAGAAATGATATATTGAAGATGTATCTGACAATACAAATAAGTTTTTACAATATAACGACATTAAGTGAATCGAATAAAATAATTAATTATAAGTGCCAATATTTTCGAAATGATAAAAATTCTAAGGCACACGTATCAACTATAAAAATTATTAGAATTTTGATTTATTCATTTATTTGCCTTTTTTTTAAAATAAATTACTTTAAAACCTCTGAAAATATATCATAGATTTATAACTGTCAGAGTTTGTGAGTTCCAAACTTCAGCTCTTTATGGGACCGCACTGACAAGTATGTTTGTCAGTAATTTTAGATCGCATAAAAAATGACTATATATATTCAGAGAAAATGTTATTTTTTTGATTGAACGGGTTATTTGTCATGAACGAAAAAGAGAGCATGAACTGTCTAAGAATATAATGATCTAAGAATTCATGTTCTTTACTGAAGCCTAAAATTAAAGTAGAGTGTTCATTTAGAACATGTACCAATTTTATCTATATTTATACCTGAAAAAGAAATCGATTCAATTAGAAAAGATAGTGTTGGATTGATGATTTACTTTTTTTTGGTTCGAATTATATTGATAGTTTGATTCCATATTTATACGTAGAAAAAAAAATTTGATTACAATAAAGAAAAATATACAATGCTAATTCTATAAAATATATACTATATTTTCAAGAAAATCTATAGGAATGTCACATCAATTTCTTTTGTAGAAGCTTGAAATTCAATAATCTTTACTAAGGGTGTGGGTGGGTGGATGTGGAGTGTGAGTCACACTCCACACCCACCCACACTCACACACCCCACACCCACAAGTGATATTTTGTATTTATATAGCATGCCTTAATTATCTATAACTAGGATGTATAAACGTGACCATAACATGCATATTCTTAATTGTGAAGATCAATACTAATAAGATTAATAATCTCTCCGTAAAAACTTATCATTAGTGCAAGAAATTAAAACAAGACAAATCTTAAGATTACCACTCTCCATGCACCCAAACACGAATACTAGCATCGTTAGACACTTATCCATTTTCTTCCCTCACATTTTCAGGGTTTTATTGAAAAATTCAAAAGCGTTTAGTTCAACGAACTATGCATTCTCTATTTTGAAGATGTTTTCTTTGCGTAGATCTCTGCTAAGCTCATCGGATTTTGAATTTGATCAGTTCCATCGATGCCCAACTCTGCAGACAAGCGCCGAGCATTTTCAGCTGACAATTTCTCGAATTTGTGTTCGACCAATAGACGTCCTTCACGAAGTAGTGCAGGATCGATGCCTTTGATTTCACAATTGAATGTCGTAATAATTTGTTGATGCATTGCATCACCGAGTAGACCATCACTAAGATTTAATAGATTGCTAACGGCTTGATTTGGATTGACATTTTCTTTGCGATCAAGTATTATATTTTCTGCATCTTCAATAATCAATATCGAATTCGGATACTGCATGAGAAATGGTAAAAAGCCTGGTTTGGTCATTTCCTAAACGAAATAAAAATTCATATGAAATAAAATCACATTCAAAAACTTACTGTGACCAAATCTGGTGGAACATAGATGAGACTTTTTCCCTTGATTTCATTGATCAAATATCGAATGTAAAAAGTTTTGCCAGTTCCCTAAAAGAAAAAGAATACGTTTATGATGTTGGATTGTTGCATCCTTATTTTACTGGTGGTCCATGTAAGAAAGTAATGCCAGTCGAATCGGCTTCGCTCAATCGCTTCAAGAGTTTTTCATGAACTTCAGGAAATCCATCACCATAATTCAAACGTAACTCTTTAATTAATGGTCGTTTGATTAAAATCGACGATGTGTAGAAGCCCGATTGTGGATTGTAACAAACCATTTGTAGACTTGTTTCCGTAATAGGAAAAAGTTTGAATCGACATATTTGATCGAGTAGAGTTTCTGCTCGTTCTCGTGTTTGCGGAATATAATAGGCCTATTAAAGATTATCATTAAAGCAACTCATCAATAGAGATAGATCAACAATGACTCACAGTAATTGTATTGATACAGAAGAATGTTTTCTCCTCAGTATCCGGTTTTAGATCAAGTGGATTGTCCATTTCAGGTTGAGATATGTGACCACCAGATAGATACACGGAGAGATAATCACCCAGATCAATATACACATCGCTATAGTGAGAAATTTTCTTCTCCTGCATATAGAACGTATTCGATATCATAGCATTCGGATCAACTTTGTACTCGTCGATGAGATATTGAATGATACTGCAATGAAAATATTTAAAAACAACATTCTCTGGATCGGTCCATCAAATTAGGACGAGTTTAGATGTTTCTCGATTGAAAAAAAGTCATTCTCTAGTTTCACTATCTGTATCTGCTTGTATAAACCATTGAGGTCAAACATGTATCAAAGATTTTACGTTGAATACATATAACCATTTCTAGAAAATACTTGCCTTGTGGTATGAACAACACCTGCTACACTATTATTTTGACTATATTGATAAGTATTTGTACCCATAGTACACGGCAATGCTTGATACTTGATGCTGAAAAATCGAGTCGGATGAATATTGCCGAGCGCCGCCATGTCCATGAGAAATTTTTCATGGTGTACTGTTGTTTTCGGATCGATATAACCATGATAGTTGGGTGTGATTTTCACTAAAGATGATGCCATGGTTCTGTGAACAGTAACAAACTACAAAGGCAAGGAACAGGCGTGTATATATATATATATATATATCGATGTGAAGCTGAGATGAATCATCTTCATTCGTAATTGCCGTTGCTTGTGCAAGAATGTTTTTTTGTCGTTCGACAGCATATTTGACAAAGAACAGTGATAAAACTACATTAAAGAATGAAGTCTATCTCTGTTAAAAATTAGAAAAAACAAGGAATTCAACGAGAACCATGTATGATTAGTGCATCGCCGAATAATGATTCTTTCTCGTCTTTCTTTGCTGTTTGTCCTTCGCCAACGCAACAAAGAAAGAAAATCGCAAATGATTCAGAACATATGATTATCTTGCTCATTCTCTCATCGTACAAGGAGGAGAATAAAGAAAAAAACACTGCTGCAGGAGTTGTGCGATGTCATTAACTAAGTAATAAACTCAAGTGATTAGCTTCTTGAATATAGGGTTATTTTTAACATACTATTTCTTGTTTCATTTTTGAAAAGCCCTATGAAATCATTACACAAATATGTGAAACAGATCTGCATTTTCTTATACTAAATAAAATTGTATATTAGTATAGTTCTCGCATCATAATCTCACATTAGATGTGATTGCATGAGTTGTATTCAAGCATAAAAACATTGTTCCTTCGTTTTCAAGAAACATAATACATTTTTTATGTCTAATATTAATTCATATACTTACTTTATTAATAGAGCTAAAGATAGAAAAATATACAGTAAGGTAAGCAGCTAGTTGAAACATGTTTAATATTAAAATTTAAGTTGTTTTCATTTCAACAAAAACAAAGATAAAAAAAAGACTTTTTCAATAAATTTAATACTTATGAACCTCGTTTATCAGTTACAAAGGTTATGTAGAATGCAAATTTTGAAGGTGTCAGAGAACTAGTTAGCTCATTTCTTCTACTTTCTCATCATCATCTCATTTTGATGACACTTATTGATTTTTTATATAACATTATTTTAAATGCATAGTAGCATTGTTTCTTTCTTAGTTTTATTCAATTAAAATAGGTTTGAAAAACTGATTATTTTTCTTTTTGACAGTAGAAGAAATTTTGAAGAGAACTTCGGCTCGTGAAGAGAAATTTTTCATTTCAGCTTCAGACTCTGCATATCTGATATTGGCTAGGCTGAATTCTGAGATTTCTATATCTTTTGAAATTATTTTAATAAAGATTCGAATTTCTGACTTCTCAATTGTTGAATAATTGTGGTTGTTCAATATTTACTCTTACTATCACTCACACGATACCATCACATCTGTGAACGAGTACTCATAGAAAAATGCCGTTCTTTCAGAGAGACTAAAATAAATATTTCGATATCGTTTTACGCCAATATATAAAAGTTGTAATCTCATTGATTTCTACTTAGCTAAACAAAAGATTATATTCAATAGAAAAGCATCACGAAAAAAGATCATTTGTTGAATTGTTTTTTTATGGACAAAGAAACAAAAAAAAAATTTACTATAATACGATTTTTGATTTTTCACTGAAACATTAAACCAACAAATAACAGACTAGATGTTAGATTATTTGAAGCAGAAAGAAAAACTACCAACGATTAATAGGAAATGTTGTTTTAGTTTTCTTCCATTTTGGATCAAATTGTGTAAGAAAAGGATCTTTTGCTAAAGTATCAATTAATTCTTGATCAGTATGAATAGTTAAAGATCTTGCATGTAACATAATTCTATGTGGTTTATAATCGATCGGTTCTGTATATAGATA